TAGAGGTCTACACAACAAACAATCTATTAATTTGTTCATGGTTTTGCAGTACCCAATATAAAGTGGAAACTATTCATTATTTGTAAATGTTTGTAAACGATTACTAATCATTTATTATCTATATGGGCTTTGGACTTTTAGCTAATCTATCAAGGTTTGTGTAAAGGGTGGCTGGTTAAGTTTATCTAAATGCTTGCTAAAGACATAACAGATTGTAATTTTGGTGCAAAAAAAAAGAAGAAATTTGTCTCAACACTCACATTATTATACTACTCTTCAGTATATCATTAAACAGGATATTCCTGTGGATCAGGCATACAAGAGGATTTTACCCTCGCTGCCTGGCTAGGGCCAATATAGCCTGTGATGTGGACGAGATTCTCTGGCCTGACCTTTTTTTTACAGTTGTGCTGTGTAGTACATGAACGAATTATTTCACCAGTGTGTAATACTTTGTTGTAGTGTGTGTGTTTTTGAAAGCTTGTGTGTGATGTCTGAGGGAAAAGTTTGGTTTTTCAGCAAGAGTGAATGGTTTTGAGAGTAGAGCTTTATTTTGACCTTAAAATAGGATGTTTGGGGAATTGGGTGAGACGTTATGGATTGTGTTTACTGTTTTGAGAATACGAGGCATAGTTTCAAGAAATGTTTAAGCAATCAAGAAAAACTGTAACACAAGCTTTTAATCATTTCATAGCATCTGTTAAAATCATTCGTAGATTTTTAATAAGTGCTTGATCATATGGAATTGAAAGTTTAATGACATTTGTAAGCATGTTAACTTACATGCAATAATGATTTGTTTGAACATTATCTAATGTTTAATAAGTTTATTAGCAAACATTAACAAGCACATTATCTCCCATTTCTAACTCTTTGAATATATTTTAAAGGGGTCATATGACGTTGCTAAAAAATAACATTATAAAACGAATATTTGGGTTGAAGTGTTCTGGAACAATGTTGTAAATACAACTTAACCACTGATTTCAGGTTGTGTCCTCTTTTGGAAGACCAAACAAAGTAGTTTCTCTTTCACAACGAAACACAGCATCTCCACGACATGGCGGCGGCGGCAACAATACTACAGAGAGAATCAAAGTTACGCCTTCTTTCTTCACATAAACATTTGGGCGGTGTTATGCTAATCTTCCCACACAGTGACGTAGACATGTGGGGGTGTGTTTAAACGAGGCATTTTAGGAGGGCGTGGACCAGTCTTAACTTTTATAAAGAATATCTCTTTGGGTTTGAGACTTTAGTCTATGCAACTTTAGGGATCTTATCTATTCACGAACAGCTTGTAACACTCCAAAGAGAAAGGAAAACTTGAAATCGCATCATATGACCCCTTTAACTAATGATCCATTAAGCATTATATAATGTTTGTTAATGATTTATTAATGAAAGCTATTATAAAGTGTTACCCTATTTATTTATTTTTGTGTATTTAGACCTGACTCTGAACACTATCCAATAGATTATTGCAAGACTGATTCCCCCTCATCCTCATATAACAATACCAGTTTAAATAGCTGGTACGGTTATAAGGTACACCGCCATCTTGCTCTGACGAAAGTGACTTGAATGTACCTGACGTCGTAAACACCACTTCCCAACTTGTAAATACAAACTTCCCAGGAGTTTTTGGCAAATTATAATGCAAGATATTAGCAAATTTTACTCTCTACTTGACTACATTTTTGAATAAGCATATGTACTCTTTACTCCATTAAATTTGTAATAAGTAATGCAATTACCAATTACTCATTACATTTTGCATGACACCTAACTTTTTCTGCAGCAGTTTATTTATTGCTAAAAAAGAAGTGATACTGCCATCTACAGGGCATTAAAGGTACTATATCTTGTGCGCTTTGCCCTTACTCATCCAAACTTGTCAACAAGGCTACTTTACCTGAAGTAGGTGTTTCATACATGAGATGAGGACATGGCTGCAGCCAAAACCAGCTCGTCCAGTGCAAGTAGGCTTTGACTATTTTACTTTACTTCACATTATCTTATTTATCTGTCAAACTGAAAATAACTTTTTGAAAGATATTGGTTTACATATGGCCTTTTTGAGCACTTGAGCTTAACTGAGACTTTTGTACTGTGTCTGAGTCGTGTCCCAATCTATTACTTCGGGTTCTGGATCTATTTAACATTGTGTGTGATACCGGAGTCAATCAGAGAACAACTGGATGTGATCAAAGTCAGTCAGCGCTGTACAAGTTTCAACTTGTAAAATTAGGATGAGAAAAGTTTGAACTGGGAAATAAGGTGGGGGGAAAAAACAGGAGTGACCCCAGCCATAAGAAGCAGAGCGGGCGGGACGGAGTTAATGCAAGCGCACATTGATAATAACGCCAGTGGCCATGGCACTGGCTGAACAAGCAATCATTAAGTTCAAAAAGGGCAAACAGTAGAAGTTATCTTAAATTATGTGAGTTGCAAAACTGCAAAGTCACATTTGTCATCCGTCACTGTGACAGCAAGTGGACTTTTGAAGCTGGAAAAATTAGAAGATTAAGCATGCTCTTTCAATCAGCAAGAGAGGAATAACATGGATGGAACTTTCTTGGCAAGGAGGATTGTATGCATTACAGTTAGGTACAAAGGAGAAGGCAACTAACATAAGGTAGAAAAAATGGAATATGTGCCAGTCGGGTCTAGCTTTCAAATAATAGATGGGTTTGTGTAAGTTCTGGGTAGTACATTTATGGCATTTCTAGGTTCTGCACTGGTCCGGATCCAGGTCTATGTCCAACTTTTAAATAATAGACTGGTCCAGGTCAGTTTTGTGTAGCACATTTACGGATCTCTTCGGAATTTTTGGACTCATGAAGATCTTTAGCGGGAGACACTCAGACCTTCCAGGAGAGGTGGGATGTCTGAGTAAGTGATTTTCTCTTTGGCTTTTGTTGTTTGATTAAGATTAATGACAAGCGGCAGCAGGTTTATTAGGGTGCTGTCACATTAATACCTCATGCACAGATCTAATATACAATCATGCACGCATCCAGTTTTCTCCTAACAGCTTATGTTCACTTAAGAAATAAAGGCTCCGATATATTTCAAGTAAAATCATTTCAAACAAAATCAGGCCAAAATTATTTTTGGATTTGGGAGTTCGAAACAGCATGCTAAAGCGATCTTTCGGGGCAAAGTTCACTCCGGCTGCAAAACACCTTCATACTACCATTGCTCTGTGGCGATTACGTAATAGGAGTTGTACGCTGAAGCTCCGCCTTCTTTCACGCAGACCTCTTCTCTGCTTCTGTTTTAACATTTTTGTTGTGTTTATTTTGTTACTGAGAGGAAAGCATGCATCACATATTTAAAAATTCATCTAAACATTACACTCATCAGTGTGGGCAGCGTCGCCATGTTCGCTAACAGTATACCGCTGCTCACATATTTCGAACTTTGTTTTACCCCTAAGCGAAGAACGAAAAATAACTTTGCTGTGAGTATATCGGGGCCTTAACTGCCTGTGTTTATGTAAACATTTTGTGTATTTGACAGTTTAAGCACAATAAGACACGAAAGATAACTTAGTTTAATACTCACGCTCTGTTTGACAGGATTTAGTATGTGTGCTTCGGGTGTACACACTCGAAGTGCATGTGAACTGAAGTGGCGGTGGTAACCTATACTTGGAATTTGTCCTCTGCATTTAACCCAAGTGAGTAGTGAACACACACTGCAAGCTGTGAACACACACACCCGGAGCAGACATTTGCTGTGGTGCCTGGGGAGCAATGAGGGATTAGGTGCCTTGTTCAGGGGCACCTCAGTCATGGATGTTGAGGGTGGAGGTGAGTGCTCTTCAGTGTGCAAATAAAATGTTTAACTAACAAGGCTTTAACGCATGCAAATAATAAACTTTCATGACTGTGAATAACTGCAATGTCACATGAGTGTAACCCTACCTATGAGTTAACGTGATGTGAATGTATGTCGAGTTGTACAGTATGTTGAAAAGGAAGTGCCAGAACTTTAACTGATAGTATGCACTGTCGCACAATACTACAATGTTTCTTCAAAAGCATATTGTGAAGACAATTTAATCATTCACGATCAAAAATCTTGATATTGCACATCTCTAACGTGACAGATCACTGTAGCACCCAAGTTCAAGCCACAGCCCGGTGCATGAGTAAACCGGTTATCTTTTCCTCTTTACTACTAGTTATAGCATGAAAGAAATATGAATGAATATTAGGATCACTCAATCGCCTCAACTCACAGCAGCGAACATATACAGTATTTACCTCAGCTAAAACATGAGCTAAAACAAAGTAATTTTAATTATGTCTCAGTTTGTAAAAATAAACAGAAACACGTTTACAACAATGCTCTTAAATCAGAAGCCTAGCAGGTTAGTGTGACACTCATATTTTTAAACCATTAGTATATAATTTTTAAGTAAGAAATGTTATAATGTTTTAACAGTGATGATTGTTCTCAGTGTTACTTACTCAGCTGATCTAGTTGCTGTAACCACAGGCAGAAGTTTCTGAAGAACTTCATCTGCTGTATTTTGTGCTTTCTGGGTGACAAATGTGTCACTATTTGAAAAGAAAAAAGACAATTATTAATGCTAATGCTAATAATAATAATATTCTAAGTAAATAATACATTAAATACCCTCCTTATACCCTCAAATATATTTCATTAAATAAAAACTGCTTTAAAAGCAACATGTGAAAACAATTTTTATCCAACTGTAAAAGCTACTAAACATTCAGTCAAAACAGATTTCTTTTTCTTTTTCATGTCAATGTTGCTGTGGCAGGTCTATTTGTCTGCATTTACACTACAACACTTAGTGCACAAATCTATTTTGACATATCAGATTTTTGTCTCATCCTTAATAAAAATATCAATCAGAAGCCTAGCAGGTTAGTGTGACACTCATATTTTTAAACCATTAGTATATAATTTTTAAGTAAGAAATTTTATAATGTTTTAACAGTGATGATTGTTCTCAGTGTTACTTACTCAGCTGATCTAGTTGCTGTAACCACAGGCAGAAGTTTCTGAAGAACTTCATCTGCTGTATTTTGTGCTTTCTGGGTGACAAATGTGTCACTATTTGAAAAGAAAAAAGACAATTATTAATGCTAATGCTAATAATAATAATATTCTAAGTAAATAATACATTAAATACCCTCCTTATACCCTCAAATATATTTAATTAAATAAAAACTGCTTTAAAAGCAACATGTGAAAACAATTTTTATCCAACTGTAAAAGCTACTAAACATTCAGTCAAAACAGATTTGTTTTTCTTTTTCATGTCAATGTTGCTGTGGCAGGTCTATTTGTCTGCATTTACACTACAACACTTAGTGCACAAATCTATTTTGACATATCAGATTTTTGTCTCATCCTTAATAAAAATATAGCATTAAATAAAAACTGCTTTAAAAGCAACATGTGAAAACAATTTTTATCCAACTGTAAAAGCTACTAAACATTCAGTCAAAACAGATTTCTTTTTCTTTTTCATGTCAATGTTGCTGTGGCAGGTCTATTTGTCTGCATTTACACTACAACACTTAGTGCACAAATCTATTTTGACATATCAGATTTTTGTCTCATCCTTAATAAAAATATAGTTGAGCCAACTTAAAAAAATAAGGCAACCTATTGCTTTCAACTTTTTAAATCCAGTTAAAATCAACTAAAATACTTTTGTTCATCTGAGTAACAGGTAGTCTTTTGAACTTCTTGTCAAGGTAACTAAAGATTTTTTTAGCAATGCAAGTAGCAATAATCCTTATTTTACTTATTATACAACTCCATGTATTATTTTCAAAGCTAGCTACACAACATGAACATCATTTGCCTCTTAAAACTAGAGGCACACATTTCACCCGGGCAAATAAATTGCAAAAGAAAAACATAAATTGTAGCTGCTTGCATTGTTAAATGCTAAACATTCTTTAGATGCCTTGAACAAGAAGCTTTAAAAGACCTTTAAAGACTACCTGCTACTCATTAGATGAACAAAAGTATTTGTTGACTTTAACTGAAGTGGATTAGATAAGTTTACTTAAAAAGATGAATGTGAGAGGTTGCCATATTTATTTTGTTTACAGTGTATGGTTATCATTGTCAACCATTGCAATTTCCCGAATGACTCACAGAAGAATAATTTAGCAGATTCACTCACATAATCAGACATCGCACCTCTCCCTGAAGTCTACCGCATATTGATATTGGGTGCTTCTCAAACAGTAGGGTGCATTCTAGTGAGGTTGTGTCTTTCCTAGTTCAGTCCTTCTGAGGCTTGTAGGCTCAAGTACTCCGAAGCATTAAACACTAGAATGAGACGCTCTGGGCATGGCTGCTCACACATGTTCCCGCTCCCACAGTCATGGCACAAAAATATTATTAAAACTGTATTAAAAATCTGATAGCACTTTATTTTACAGTCCTGTTCCCCATGTACATACTATGTATTTAGTTTATTTTATTTTATTTTTTTATAAAGCACATTTCTACTGGCTCTAATTGTAACTGAAACAGACCTATTGAAGAGATCCGAATAGAACCAGTGCAAAACCATACCGCTAAGCCCAACCTCCTGCTGTAGACAATCTAAAAGAATGCTGTGATGGATTGTATCAAAGGCAGAGGTTAGATTGAGCAAAATTAAAATAGCAGAGTTACCCAAATCCAAAGTGAGCGAGAGGTCATTTGTTACTTTAAGAAGGGTGGTTTTGGTGCTATTAATCAATTTCTAAACCCAATTGAAATTGATCATGTAGATTATGGTCTGTTAAGAATGTAAAACAGACAATCTTCTTCAACACTTTTGAGAGAAAAGGCATTGTGGATATAGGTCGAAAATTATTAAAATAAGACCGATCTAGATTTGGCTTCTTCAGAAATGGCCTAATCACTGTGTGCTTAAAGCAGGATGGAATAATGCCGGGGCTCAATAGCCGCGTTTCCACTGTCGGGCCAAAAGCAGGCGTGCTAGTGCGTGCCAGGGCCAGTAGTGTTTCCACTGTCAATTCCGGGGATTGATCGTGCCGCGTCGGTGCTTCCTCGGGGCCAACGGCCCGGGTTTTTTGGCCCGACGAAAACCTTGGGCCAAAGCAGGCCAGCTGGGGCTAGAGGAGTGGTCATGAACAAAGGCGGAGTTTCTCCGCGTCTGGAGAGCGTCAGCTCCGCGGATCATTTCATAAAGCTAACAGCTATAACACCAGCATTAAAGACTTTTAACTTGCTTTCAGACAGCAGCGAGTGTTTGAAATAACTTAATCTGATGTGGATTATGATCACCATAACTGGAAGAAATATTTATAAGTGATGCAAAAGACTATGCACGCTAGCCATTAACGTTACCATAGTAAAAATGGTAAATACGACCGCTTGAAGAAATCAGACGTCAGCTTCTTATTCTCTTATCACAATCATGTATTTATTTAGTTACATATTTTATCTGTCATAAGTCTTGCCTCGAGAGATGTCTTAAAAATATAATAATGTTTTTTGTTAGGGAACTTTCATAAAAATATAGAAATGATCATTCTTTCTAAATGTGATGTAGGCTATATACTGTGACTACAAATAAACAGAAACAGACTCGACTGAGTAGGTAGGCTATGTTCATACCGCTTTATTTCTGTGTGACTAATTTTCAATCCTGATAAATTAATTAATTGTGATCAATGTATCACTTATTATTGTAAAACATTGATGCTTTTGGATTTAAATCTTTAACAAAACATGCAAACAAACGGCTGCTTTTATCATGTTCGTTTTGTGATCGCGCTAGTTCCAGTGACTTATTTTTTTTTAGTTTTTCTGATAACTTCTCTTTGTTGGTGAAATGATGGGGTTGCGTGACGTTGTTCCAGAGAGGCGTGTAAAGGGCGGGTTTTAGTGAAGCACAGCAGAGCTTCTGGCCTGAAGGTGGAAACGCAGAGTGATTTTGGCCTCGGTGCTACAGATCTGAGGCTCTTAGCCCCACCCAGCCCATTTAAAGCACTGGCTCACACTGGCCCGACAGTGGAAAAGCGGCTAATGAGCTATTCATGATAGTCAAAACAGATGGGCCAATCACACCTAACACCTCTCTAAAAAGACGTGTAGGCATAATATTCACTGGTGAGGTAATTGGTTTCAGTTTTGAAATTACCTCTATCAATTTATTAAGATCAACTGGATTAAAATTTGTTAGGTGGATATTATTAGGGACAGGATTGGAAGAATTAGAGGCATGATTTAGAACAATCTTATTCCTAAAACTATCAAAACATTTTACGCACAACTCAGGGGTAGCATCTGGATGTGAAGATGCCTTGGGGTTAACCAATTTATTCGTTTTAAATGGCTATTATAGCCATTTATTATAGTTATTACAACGACTGGGTAATAACTACTGTAGGTACTAACCCAGAATTTACCCCCTAAACAGGGCCGTGCACAGACATTTTGAGGGGCAGTGGCCAAAATCACTAGGGGTGGGGCAGTTATTGCTCAGCCGTATATATTTGCATATGTATGTATTAGTATATTAGTTCAATCATATTTTTGTCTTTAAGGTTTTGTATTTTAAGGGGATTTTTTGGTACTAAATGTTTACTAAATATTTACAGGGCTGTGTATTCCCTAGTTGCTGGGAATATTGTTTTCAAACATAATTACTTACTTGTATTAGATTATGTATTTGGATATATACAGTATTTAGACTATTAAAGACTACTTTTTGTAAAAGTTGACATTTAAAGGTTGATTTGAAGTGTCAGTTTTTGCATTATTATTGCAGTCAAATCTGGACACAGGGAATGCATATTGTTACTCATACTAGCTACATATAATAACTTGATCAGTCACACGAAAGTAATCAGAATAAATATTGACTAGATCCAGGGTGCTATTCCAAAATATATTACTGAGTGTTTACGTACCATATGAACAGAGATGTGGTCGTTTGAAAAACTCCACATTGCTGTCAGTGATTGACAGATTCAGATTCCAGTAGCTTTATTGGCATGGTAAAAAGTATTTACATTGCCAAAGCAATGATAGTGCTCTGATCTAGTGATGTTGAGCATTATCAAATTTTCAGGCGGCAATGGGCAGCGAATCAGGCAGTGATTGACAACACTCTGATCCAATGGCATTAGGCATTGTCAGATTAACAGTACTCTAGCCCAATGGTGTTGGGAGGGCCAATCACGTTCAGAGGGGGTGGGAGTGCTGGGGGTTCAAGAGGGGCACCTCAGCCAATGAAGGCAGAGGGGCAGTGGCTCTAGCCACCAGGCCACCCCCCTGTGCCCCGCCCCTTAACATAACCTTAACCCATGTAGTAACCTATATTAACCAGTACTTTCTTAGGTAAGTAAACTGTAAGCACACTTAAGTGCACATACTGTAAAATATATAGTACAACCAAAAATCTTTATATTAACTGGCTTTTTTCTTAAAATAATACAGTGAATGACAAGCGTCTGTGGTCTCCCAGTGGCTTACATTATTGGCAGTTTAGTGTTAAGTGATTAATTCACACCAAAACGAAAGATAACATGTATGCCTTCTCCTCCAAAAACATTACTTTTGTCTTACATTTTATAATGAACTCCGATAAGCTCAGTGCCAGCTTGTTTTCCATCAGTTCATTTTTGTGAATTGGAATATGTGCGCAAAGGATTGTGGGAAACTGAAGAACACAAAGGATACACTTCATGCATCCTTCAAAATGAGCAGAATTAAGGACGCGAAACGAAGGCTGCCTTCAAAGGATCCTTCAAATTTAGATGGCCGTCTGCGGCATGTGATGACATAACAGCTGAGATACGCAGCCTTACTTGGACATAGCCTTCTGTTTGAGAAGCACCTGCAAATTGCGTACAGTATCCCAGAAAACAATCTGTACCCCACAATTGAAAAACCTCTGATCTTTGTTTTTCTTTGTTCATAATGTTTTACACTAATGATTGTTCTCAGTATTACTTACCTATCATGTTCTGCTCCAATTAAGCTCTTCAGCCTAAACTCCTGCATTGTCTGCTCTGAGGTCAACAACACAAAAACTAAAGCTGACCACTGAGATGAGAAGAGTTTCACATGACGTAATCCTCCACGGCTCATACGAGGTTCAGCTTCGTTCATTAGAGAAAGATCACCCAGTTCATTCAGACAGTGAAACAAATTGATGTATTTATCTGGAGAGGGATTCTCACTGATCTTTTCTCTAATAAAGTGAATTGTTTTCTCATTATTATGAGACCTGTTTCCTATCTGTGTCATCAGTTCTTGTAAGAGACTCTGATTAGACTCCTCTGACAGACCCAGAAGGAAACGAAGGAAAAGGTCCAGATGCCCATTTTTACTGCCTAAAGCCTCATCCACAGCTCTCTGATGGAGATAAGATAGTGAAACTTTAGTTTGTTTGGTTTGGTCAAACACATTTCTGTTGTGGTTTGTACAGGAGAGGTGCACATATAGAGCTGCTAGATGTTCCTGAATGCTCAGATGAACAAAGCAGAAGACTTTCCCCTGATACAAGCCAAACTCCTCTCTGAAGATCTGAGTGCACAATCCTGAGTACACTGATGCTTCTGTCACATCAATGCCACACTCTCTCAGGTCTTCCTCATAGAAGATCAGGTTTCCTTTCACAAGCTGCTGAAAAGCCAGTTTCCCCAGTTTGAGGATCATGTCTTCATCTGTCACCTTCTTCTCATAGTCCTTCTCACGTTTGATGTTGGTCTGAAGGATCAGGAAGTGTGTGTACATTTGAGTGAGAGTCTTGGGAATCTCTCCACTCTCTGCTGGACTCAGCATCTTCTCGAGAACAGCGGCTGAGATCCAGCAGAACACTGGGATGTGGCACATGATGTAGAGGCTCCTTGATGACTTCAGGTGTGAGATGATCCTGTTGGCCAGACTCTGATCACTGATTCTCTTCCTGAAGTATTCCTCCTTCTGTGGCTCATTGAAGCCTCGTACCTCTGTCACTCGATGGACACACTCAGAGGGGACAAGATCAGCTGCTGCTGGTCTGGAGGTGATCCAGATGAGAGCAGAGGGAAGCAGATTCCCCACAATGAGGTTCATCAGCAGCACGTCCACTGATGCTGATTCACTTACATCACACAACCTCACATCGCTCTTAAAGTCCAGAGACAGACGACACTCATCCAGACCATCAAAGATGAACAACACTTCATATTCATCACTGGATATCTCCATTTCTTTAGTTTCAGGGAAAAAGACATGAAGAAGATCTGAAAAACTGAGTGTTTTGTCCTTCATCAGGTTGACTTCTCTGAAAGGAAGTGGAAATATGAGCTGGACATCCTGATTCTCTTTCCCTTCAGCCCAGTCCAGGATGAACTTCTGCACAGAGACGGTTTTTCCAATGCCAGCGACTCCCTTTGTCAGCACAGTTCTGATGGCTTTGTCTTGTCCAGGTAAAGGTCTAAAGATGTCACTGCATTTGATGGCTGTGTCCTCTGTTGCTGCTCTCCTGGATTGTGTCTCAATCTGTCTCACCTCATGCTCATTACTGATCTCTCCACTCTCACTCTCTGTGATGTAGAGCTCTGTGTAGATCTCATTCAGGAGTGTTGGGTTTCCCTGCGTCGCTGTTCCCTCATACAGACACTCAAACTTCTTCTTCAGAAGCGTTTTGAGGACTTCAGCATGTTTAGAGTCACGGCTGTAAGATTAAAATACAATACCAGGTTATTACACAAGTTAGAAAAGTAAATAACAAACAAATAATCAATTTTGTAATTTATGGCTGTGTTAAGGGTCACAGAACATCATTAGGTTTCTAAAATGTTTCAATTATTAATAATGTGTTTGAGTGATGTGTGATGTGCATTGCAGCACCTAAAATTAAAATACCTACATTTTACCTGGGGTATATTCCAGAAAGCACGGTTAATTAACCGTCAGCTAAACCCTGAATTCTCGGTTGATTAAACCCAAACCTTGCTTACTCGAGGTATGTGGTTCCAAAAACGCGTCCGGGAGTAAGTTCATTCAACTCAGACTATGTTCCTGGTTAAGACTCAAGACATTCTCAACAGAGCGACGAATTGACGAGTCACTATGGAAACGGACACTAAGAAAAAGTGTGCTATGCTGTTTCTTTCTTCTTGTTTTGTTCAATGGTCGTTTACATGCTTAGTGCATATCGCCACCTAATTGATGGTTGTGCAGTCATTTTTATTTTTTACCGTTTAATCTTTAATCCCTGAGAAAATGAATTATATTGGTTGTTTGATGCTAATTATATATTAAGTCATATCAGGGGTGTATTCCAGAAAGGAGGTTCAACAAACTCTGAGTTGACTTACCTTGAGATAGGAAACTCTTGAGTTTTCAGTTTCAGAACAGCTGAACAGAGTTAGTTCAATCCACTCTGTGTAGGTTGACTGAGTTTAGCGCGTGCACCACGACTATGAAAAGCCATGATCAATGAAGCTCCACCAAAAAGACTTAAATTCTAAATCAATGTTATCAGGTGAAAACTGGCAGAAATTTAATTTATTGAACTAATATTAATTTTCATGGTATCCCACGGGCAAACAAAAAAAGAAAATAAAAAAATGTTGCAGAAAAAAAAAAAACCTAATTCAATCAGGTAAAGCTTCAAGCGTGAAATGGGTGTAGGCTAACGTTACATGACTTTACAAATATTTGACATTCAATAAATATCATTCAGTGTATATATATATCAATGTGCAGCTGCTTTTTCACATAAATAAATGTTGCTACATTTCATAATTAGGGTAATGAAAAACATTTAACTTCTATTCAGAAGCCAACAGCAAGAAGGCAGAGACTCGTCAAATGGGGGAAGAACCTGCACCAGCATCACTGAGAGCTGAAGAGGAGATGGCCACAATACCAATATTAAAATCCAACAGGGAAAAAAATCATTTGTTGCTTTTGTATTTGTAGAACATAAAGATGACCAAATAAACTGTGAATGATTTGTGTTTATTTAACAGCTGTGGTGGTGGTTACGGCATAGATATCTCACACTACCCCTCTTATCTGGCATCCTTCCATTCCATACAGTAATCAGTTTCATTTTCGGAAGGTGCGATGGTGAAAATATGTTTGTAATCAATGCATCCAACCACACTGGAAATCCTTAAGAAATTTCTAATTATTAGGTTACTTAAAGGTTGCAACCAGATGTTATCAAGTGAACGCCATTTAAAAAATGGTACCGTTCAAATAAATATGCATGTGGACATGGCAAAATAAATAAATTAAATTAAACTAAATTAAATCCTCTCCTGAAGTAAATGTAACTCCCGCGAATTAATGCAGCCTCCTCATCTACAGGATCCCTTATATAAAGACATGCCATTTGTCACATTTACAGTGTCTGCATGATGAAAATGAAAGTGGTCCGGTGAGAAAAATAATCTTGTTTCCATTTTCATTTCATTTCGCTGGCAATTAATTTTACTCGTTTACCCCAGGAAACAAGACTAAATATCATATATATTCTTTATTATATAGAATGCATCATGATTTAGGAATTTTTTGATATTTGTATTTGAAATAAGGCAAAATCAGTGTCTTGAAATAAGGCAAAAGTCTCAGCAATAAAAGCAATTTTTGCAGCGTGAATGAATGAATGAGGTATTTAAACATTGCTTACGCTTTAAAACGGTGGAGGAGACCGAAAGAAAATCTGGGTTTACCGAAGAAAAGGTTAGGTTCACAGAGTAAGTTACTATGGTAACTTACCGAGAGGTTTAGTTTTGTCTTTTATTGGAACCGAAAACACTGAGTTTCCCTTTTCTGGGGTTAACAAACTC